AAGATGGCGGTGTGCATCGCGGTGATCGCCAAGGAGGTGCGTGTGGACTGGTGGCGGAGGGCGGGTGTGCGATCCTCCCGGCCCAGCTCGTGGGACTCCGCCCTGTCCGCGCTTCCCCGCGTCCCCTCCTTCCAGGCCCAGGTTTCTAAGCCTGGCCGAGCCAGGACCCAGGCCCGCTGCCCGCCTGTCATCCCGGAACGCATCCTGGTCCTGGGACCACTGGACAGATGGCTGCGGCCTGGGAGCTGCTCTTCTTTCCGCCCGAGTTTGCGGCTGTTCCTCCCGCGGCCTCCGCCAGCTTCTGAGTTTCCCTCTGTATCCATGGCCCACTTTTGTCCCGAACGGTGCCGTCCTCTCCTGCCCGAGGGTTCAAAGAACAAATCATGGTTCATCTCTACCTAAAATATGTCCAAGGGTTTCTCCTTGCCTCAATATGGCGCCTGAGTAACCTGGTTAACGTCCCCCGCCCCTCCGCAATTCTACTTGCAGCCCCTGGACAGGCCCTGCCTTCTCTCTACTAAGGCCTCTCCCCCGACCTCCTTGCATCATGGGCCAGTGTACATTTCATGCTCCGAGGCCTTCTACCTGCTCATGCTGCACGGAGAGTTTCTTATCAGGTTCTTTTTTGAGAATGGAGACAATCAGGGACCTACCTACGGGTGTGACATTCCTCATGGGCTTTGAGCACAGCTACAGTGTAGCACTGACAGGTGCACCTCCTTAGGATGGAGTTCTGTCCTCACAAACCCCCATAAGTTGAAACTATCATAAGTCAAAAAATGCATTTAATACCGGATAAACTCATGGTAAGCATCATATATGGAGATTCTAAATTGGGGGCTGCCTATGTTTGCAGATCTGCGAACCTGCAACAGATTCCGGTCCCAGCAGATGGGGACATCTTATTCACAGATGTCCGTGTGCCAAGTCTGGGCAGGCATGGTGAATTGTGGCATGTGGGAGGCTGGGTGAAAAGCTGTTTACTCTGGGGGTCAGGATGATTAGATGTGCAGAGATGGGGGGCTTGAGCTGAGTCTTGAAGAGCTGAGGAACAGAGCCACTGGCCTTGCGGGGTGGTACCATGCTAGGGTGTGCCACACAGAGGCCAAGGTAGCTGGGACAGAGTGCGCTCATGAAGGTGCATGTATCAGCCATGGAGATGGGGCCGCTGTCAGCAAATAGCACACAAACTTGCTTAGATGAGATGGGACCCACAAGCAGTGCCTGAGGGGAGGTGGAGAGTTAAAGTGTGGATGTCACAAAATAGGGTCCCTTTCCAGGATGGTCATGGGTATGGGCTGCACTCTGGCACTCTGTACTGTTCAGAGCCAGCATGTGCTGTCTTTTGAGTTACCATCATCCTTTCTTGCAGAATTACCCTCTCTACATCCGCAGCACTCCCATGGAGAATGAGCTCAAGTTCCACTACATGGTGCACACGTCCCTGGATGTGGTGGATGAGAAGATCTCTGCCATGGGCAAGGCCCTGGTGGACCAGCGAGAGCTCTACCTGGGTCTGCTCTACCCTACAGAGGACTACAAGGTGTATCTTCCAGCGCCCTAGCATGGTGCTGTAATGGCCAGGCATGCTTTAGAAAACACTTGCCAGGAGGATCCCCGAGAGTTCCAGGCCAGCCTGGACTACAGAGTGAGTTCAAGGCAACCTGAACTACATAGTGAACCTGCCCCCCAAAAACCCAAAATAACTTGAAAAGGGGGGGAAAAAAGCAAAGGTTTTCAACAAGCCAGGGAATTGGGGACAGACTGAAGCTAATGAAGGCTTCTAAACCTCATTTCCCTGGAGACTCACTTGAGATACACAGGGCTCGAGTGGAATATATGTGGGTGGAACTGAGGCTCCCCTTGCTTTATATTTGTAAGGGTGTCTTCCTGTGCTTTTCAGCCTTTCGGCGGCGGCGGGTGGGAACTGTCTTCAAGCAAGGGCAGTTGTTCCATTCATTTCTTGTTAGGTCTTTATTGTTGTGTTGTTCTCATTGGAAACCCTTGGGCAGGCCCTTGTGACAATCACTTGAAGTTCTGGACTTCAAAGGCATTCCCATGGGCGGTAACGTAATTTGTCCATAGGGATTGTCTTAGTCACTTTTGTTGCTGATACAAAATTCCCGACACCCACCACTTAGGGAGGAAGGGTTTATTTTGATTCAGTTTGTAGAGTTTCAGTTCATAGTCCACTGGCTCCCAGGAAGGACGGCATGGCAGAGGGGCGTGGCAGAGGAGAATGACTCAAGTGGTGTTAGAGAAGCAGAGATCAAGGGAGCAGGGAGGGAGGGAGATAGAGCCTTCCAGGCCACTGACTCACCTCCTCCAATCAGGCTTCACCTCCCAAATCACAATGAGCTAGAAACTTCACTGATGAGTATCTCACCCCCGTGATCCCATCACCCCAAACCCTTCATGAGGCCTGGGTTCAACATCTAGATATAAATGCAACAGTGACTTGACCTGGAGCCACTGCATTACACTATGACGAGGCCTGGGTGGGGGAACTTATTTGTGAAAACTGGGTTTGCATTTAACTTCCTGGGCCTGACATTGATTCAAAGGAGGGCGATATGGCCCTGATACAGATTGGATGTGATTTGAGCCCCGCGGGTGTTGGTAACCTCTGCCCCTGTGAACACCAGGGGACACCATCAGGGTGTCCCATCTCACCCCTGTGTGGTCGCCACGGGACCTGTAGCCCTGGGCACCTCCCGTGACTCAGGATGGATAGGTGTCCTCAGCAGTCCCTGCGTTTAAGTGTTCCCTAACCAGCTGGGCAGATATGGCTTTGTGACCAACTCCAAGGTGAAGCTTGTCATGGTGGTGGACTCCTCCAACACGGCCCTTCGAGACAACGAGATTCGCAGTGTGAGTGGGTGATTGGAGGCCGCGCTGTGGGTGGGCTGGGTTTGTTGTTGCTAATTATGCTGTGTGGAAAGGCCGAGACCCACGCCCAGCAGTGGCCATGCATGTGTTTGTTGAAACCATCGCTGGTCCTGTTTCAGATGTTCCGGAAGCTGCATAACTCCTACACGGACGTGATGTGCAATCCCTTCTACAACCCTGGCGACCGCATCCAGTCCAGGTGGGCCTGCTGCTGTCTGTGCTGCCACTTCTGCTGGGCCCGCTTGCTGGAGCATGGCCGAGTGGAGGTGTGGCAGCCATTTCAAAGTGGTGAAACCCTTTGTTAATCAACTCTGACTCAGGCAGATGGGCAGAACTTGCCCACTTGGTTTCCCAGGTGCACCCGGTGGGTCCCTAAGGCATCTTGGAGAGCACAGCTAGGACTCAGGTTCGTGGAAGTAATCCTCAGGGAGAAAAGGTCCTCATGTCATTGCCCAGCCTGCCTTTCCTGTAGGACTTGGATAGTTAGGAGCTTGGATCACAGGGGTCTTCCTGGGCAGGAGGGTGGCTGGGGGTATGGTGCATGCCTGGCACTCGAGAGGCCTGTTTTGATCCCTGGCACAGCCAGCAAACCAACATGGCAGACCTACTGTTCGAATAAATGTCACAGAGGAGCTTTGTGAAGCAGCATGGATCCATGTGCTACACCCACACCCGCTTCCCTTGGTCCGTGACAATTCCTCAGGGGCAGGTGGCCCACACCAGTCCCTTCCTGTGGTGCCTTCCCTTGCTGTGTGTCTTGGATCATTCTGGTCCAGAGGAGGCAGCAGATGCTCCCGGGATGTACTGGGCAGGAACAGTGCTGCTCTCATTCCTGCTGCTCCCCCACCCCTGCTGGGACTCTGGGCCCTGACCTGGGGACCCTTCCAAGGAAGGCTTTGGGGACTGCAGGCAGGAGATGGGGTGGTGGGACTTGCCTCCTGGCCTCGAGGTGGAGTTCACTCACTGGGCCCTAGAGACGTCCTTGTCTTTCCTGGGCACCTGGAGGTGGTGCAGTCTCTGTCAACAAAGCGATGGGGTTGGAGCCGTCGTCCTTGAACTGACCTTTCTCTTTGCAGGGCCTTTGACAACATGGTGACATCGATGATGATCCAGGTGTGTTGAGCAAGTTCCTGCTGCCTGTGACCTGACCCGAGAGAAATGTGTACATAGCTGCTTGGAGCGTCTGTTCACCGTCATTCCTCTTCCCAAGTGTGAGGGAGCTGAGGGTTGGGCGTGGGCCTTGCCACTAAAACATAGGAGTTGAGGTCGGCTTGTCCTTCTGTGTGAGCAGGGGCACACTGAGGACTGGGGCAGCTGTGGCAGGAAGCCTGTTCCCAGTGGGAGGGCAAAGGACAGGAACCCAGCATCTGCTCTTGCCCCTGGTGGTTGCATTTGAGCCTGCTGCTGTCCCCTGGGCTTCCTAGGATGAGCCGGAATCTTGCTGTCACCATCCCCGAAACTCATACAGCAAAAGCCCAAATGGTGGCCCTAACTGCCCACGATGGAGGAGACGGCCTTTGAGGTCAGGCTGGTCCCCATGTCCTTTGACAGCTGGCTGAGAGATGCCAGTGGGCCTCAAGGACACTGGGCAGAGCCATCCATACAGATGTTTCTGTGCCACACTGTGTCCAGAGCCATCGGCCTCCCCAAGTTACAGGTCCAGGAGGCTCCGTGCCAGCTGAGCAGCCCTTCAGTTACCCCCTGGCCCTGTGCATTTCACAGACTTCTGGGGCCCAAGGGTGCTTGGGATGGGAGGTGAGCGGTTGCTCTATACAGGTCTGGTTGTCCTTCCTGCCCAGCAAGCACAGTGTTGATTTTTTAACAAATTGCACGATAATAAGCTAGGTGTGGTGGCAGACACCTGTAACCCAGCACTCTGGAAGCTGAGGCAGGAGGATCGAAAGTTCAAGCCTACCCTGGACAACTTAGCAAGACCCTGTCACACAAATAGAGAGGGCTGGGATGCAGCTTAGTGTGAAGGCCCTGTTCGGCATGCATAAACAAACGTGCAAACCCCAGGTCTCCCACCCCAGGTGAATGGAAGACCTGGACCGGCCTGAGACCTGGCAACAGGCAGCCAGTGCTGACACACAGTGTACACTCGCTCCCTGGTTCACAATCGGTGACGGGAGGCACTGGCCAGGCACAGAATCTGTGACCTCCAGCAGGGCAGCTGCCTGGGGATGTGCGTTGGCGGCTGCACACTGCCCCAGCATACCCTCCACCTCTTCCTCACAGAGAACTCCGATATTACTAGAGACAGTCACAAGATACACGCTGCTGCTGCCCTGCGCCCCTTGGCAGATAGCAGAGGTGTGAGTGGGTGGTGTTGGAGATCTCCAGGGATGGCCACCTAGAAAGGGTTCACCTTTGTCTCTTCCTGCCTGGGACTTGGATGGGTGGCTGACAGCTGTCTCGAGAGCATGAGGATGAGATCCCCGTCTGCTGGATGGGGCAGCAGAGAACAGGAGTCTGTGCTGTGTCCCAGCCCTGGACATGTGTGTGTGGTGTGGGGAAGAGGCCACTGGCATCTTTGTTCCTGTTAGTTGTGGCTGGCCCTGTCCACCTGTGCTTTAACATACTGAGAAGCTTGCTGTGCTTGGTTGGGTGGCTTCTCCACCTTGATCTCCAGAAGACAGTGTCAGAAGCATTCTGCTCAGTTTAGCATGGCCACCAGGACTGCAGGTCACCATCTGCCCTCCCACCACCCTGAGCATGGCCCTGTCCCCAGTCCTGCCTCCAGGCTCATCCTCCAGCCCAAGCGCTGCCTTCTCTGGTGACCTCTGTAGGACGTTGCCCCTTCTGGCACGAGTAACTTGGCTCCACCTAGTAGCTGCTTATGCAGTGACCACCTGTGCTTGGAGACCCCGGAGGGGTAGGAGCAGAGCATCTGATTCTTCACATCTATGGGAAAGGAAGGACAGGGCTCCCTCAAAGGGGCAGCCACTCTGATGAGGATGACAGTGTGGCACACTGAGTGGGTCCTGTTGTGGCCAGTAAGTGGCCTGAGGTGCTGGGCAGGCAGTGGTGGCTCCATGCCAACGTCTGCTTAGTGCCCAGCCCTTTGGCAGCTCCATACTTGGCAAACCTCAACCTTACCCTCAGTCCCCGCCTTCTGGTGTGGGCTCAGCCACTGAGATGTGGTCCATGGCCTCTCGTGGGCACGAGCAGAGCCCCACACGCTGGGGCTCAGAATAGGAGTTTGCACTCAGCTTGGAGGCCAGAAGACAGTTCGCTGTGGGTAGGGCCAGCCTCTCTGCAGCTCTGGAAGACCCTCGATGTCCCTTGACCTGCAGATACTTGGCATTGCTCTGGGCTGTGCTTTTCTTTGTGCAGTCTCACGTCTCATCCTACAGTTGGACTTGGGATCCACCCAGATAGTTCAGGATACTTGCCGCTGAAGACTTTTTTTTTTTTTTTTGAGACAAAGATGAAGCAGTCGTGTTTGGAGGCTTCACCCTGGAGTCTGACCTGGCTCCTCGCCTCTGTCAGGGTGCAGGGTGGCCACCTACCAAGAAGGCGCAGTGTGAACTTGGATCCACATCAGGAGAAAAGGGGAGATCTGCCATGGTGTGCTTTTAAAAACATTCAAATTTAATAATTTATGCTTTACTCTTAAAACAGAAGTCTGTATCTTTCTTTAAAATACATGAGTTGAAGAGCTGAGGTGGCCCATCCTGGCTGGCAGCACCACCTGGGCCTCCCTGTCCCCACCCCAGCTGTCCAGGGCCTCCAAGCTGCGCCACCCACTGGACAACCATGAGACTCATGGCTGCAGACCCGGCCTGTCTGGAATAAGTGGTCCCAGGGCACACAGCTGCTGACTCCTGCCCCAGCCCTGACCCCACGTGGAGTCAGATGTCGCCTCAGTATGGCGAGAACCACGTGGAGAATCTTCTACGGCCCCTGTGAGAGGGAGAGGCTCAGGTGAGGGTGCAGGTGGTTGGCAGTCACTCAGCAGCTCTGCACCCTCAGGTCGACCTGCAGCCGCTGGCTCTTGGGGGTCTCCATAGGGTGACAAGCTCGACCCTGAGCCTTCCTACCTGCCCTGCCCACGTGGTCGGAACCGGGGCCTGCCCTGGAGGCTGCTGCATAGGATGGGTGCTGCCCTGGTGCCCAGGTACCCCCGGAGGCCCCCGCGGTCTGTGGAGCTGATGCCTGGGAAGTTGGTCCTCTTGGGGAGCACCTGGAACCAAAGGTGCGAGGTCGAGACCTCTCCATCTGCAGCCGCCACCTCTCAGAGCCTTCATGGGCCCGTGTTGCTATCTACCATCTCCACCTGTGTGCAGCCTCCTAAAGGGGCAACCAGGGCTCCAACGCCCATGGGGGTCGGCACTGGAAGGGAGATCTCACACAGGGACACGCACCTTGATGACCCGGCCCCGAAAGATGCTCTCATCCAGCTGTGCAGCGGCCAGGGCTGAGCGCCGGGTGGTGAACTCCACATAGGCATAGCTGGGGGGTGGGGGAGGGTGAGACGGGGTGGGGCGAGGGGAGTCCACACTGCCTGTGCCCCACCACAGCCCTGCACTGACCCCTTGGGGTGGCCAGAGAACTTGTCGCATAGGATGGTGACACGGTGCACCTCCCCACAGGGGTGGAAGTGGGCCTCCAGCTCCTCGGCCGTGCCGCTGTAGTCCACCTGCCCAGGCACAGCCCCTGTGCTCTCCGTGCAGAGGGGAGAGGGAGCCCAGGTACCGATGCGATGGCTGGACTGTCCCCCCCGCCCGAGGCCTGGGTGATGGGCTCACCCCGAGTTTGCACACTTTCTACGTGGACCCCGCGGATTGCACCTTGCAGCCTTTGGCTGGCTTAGGGTTGCATGGTCTGTACAGTGACTGTCGCTAGAGAAACCAGGACATCTCATGACGGGCCAGGGCTCCTCGGGGGACAGTCCACCTTTCTCAAACCCAACCACCCCTCCACTGGCCTGGACCCTGGGATGGCCCTTCCTCCCACTCATGGCCCCAGGAGGGTGGCCCCAACTGTGGACAGGGCCACTGGTGTGCCCTCCCACCACTCACGTTGCCAACGTAGATGGATCTGTAGTCGGCCTCCACCGTCTCCCGGGGGGCCATGGGAAAGGGGCTACCTGGTAGGGAGAGGGCCGCAGACACCTGGTGGGTGCCTCTCACCTGTGCTCTTGGGGAGGCGCTGCAGGCCTGACCCATGGTGACACCACTTGCTCCCTAGTGGCCCTCATGGGCAGGCCACCCCCAGTGCTCCCAGACTGGGCAGGCTCAGAGTCTCGGGTTGTGTCCTGGGACAGGGCTAGGGCACCAGGGCCCCTTGGTTCCTACCCACAGTCTCAGGACTCAGCAGCTGCCTAGCCCTGGCGGCTTCTTCCTCTTTGGCCACGGTCTGTGTGCTGGGCGGCTCTGGTGCCGCCTGGGCCTGCTCCATGGTCCACAGCTTAAGCTTGATGGCCTCCAGCTCCTGCAGCTCCTGCCAGCATAGCAAGGTGAGCCTGGGAACATCCCGCAGGACCTACCCGCGGGGAAAGGAAGGGGACAGCCCTGCCGGGGCCGCGGACCCTGAGAGATGATCCCCTTCTCTCAGCAGTCCTGCAGAGAAGTCCCTGAGACCTCCACTAGGTTTCCTCTGGAGGCTCTCTCCTCCTAGTCAGCTTCCTGTCCCTTTGTCCCCAGGCTATGCCCAGGTCCTTGCTTGCCACCACCTGGTTGCTACCTGGTCAGGTTCAGGGCCCTTGGCCAGCCTCTCGGACTCCAGTAGGGACAGCAGGAAGCTTGCGTCTCCATCATCGTCTTCCTCGGCCTCCCTCCCAGCCCCACTTCCTGGCTCCAGAGAGTTCTTCTCTGGCCTGGCCCAGGCCCCCCAGCCCTGGGCTTCCGGGTCTGAGGAGACCATCTGGAGCCAGGCCTCGGTGGGGGGTGGGAAGAGTGTGCAGCTCTGGAAGGGCCACATGGTTGGCTGGGAAGCAAGAGCTGCTGCTCATTTCCACCACCGCTTACCTGCATGCACCTGCCCAGCCCCTTTTAAACTGTGCGTGCTGCGCCAGCTGCTCCCACTACAGCACCAAGGGCTTTCCGCTGGGTGTAGCCCCACCCACCCTTCCTTCTTGGGGAGGGGAGGGTGATGGAGCCCTGGACAAGGCCCAGTGCTGTGAGCACTCAGGGTCTCCTCCCACTTCCCTGACAAGAGGACTGGGCCCCTGGAGGCCCCGGTGAACAGTCGGGCGTGAACAAGTTGGGGAAGCCATGTCTGGCAGAGCCAGGGAGCCCAGGGCCTGAGTTGGTCAGGGGAGGCAGCAGCCTGTGGCGCTTGAGTTCCTAAGGACCCCCGCACCCCACAGCTGGCACATCTTAGGTGGAGGCCCTCAGCTGAGCTGATCCTTTGCTTCTCTGAGGGCCTAGGGCTCGGGGCAGCAGCCCTCCCCCACGTCGCTCCCTGAAGGGGTGCCAGGGCCCCTGCACCCCTCCTTTCTTCCCCACCCATTGGAGGGCCAATCTGCAAGCCTCCCACACCCAGGCCTGACTCTGGACGGCCTCAGGGCTTCCCGTCTCCAGCACCTGGAGAGAAGCCAAGGGACCCAGCCCGCACTGTGCCGGGTTCCTGTTTGGGCCGAGGCCGGCAGGGCGAGTGGACAATAAGGCAGGTTGCACAGGGCCCAGGGCTGAGGCTCCACTGTGGCCTGGTGGGAGGCTGGGCACCACTGTGTTCCAGCTAGATGTCCCTGCCCCTTGCCATCCTGTGGGAGCTCAGGGCCTGCCCAGGGCAGAGGATGTCACACCACAGCTACACAGTGGCCTTCCTGTTGAGTCCCGCTCGAGTCCTGTGTGCCCTTCAGACAGAACATTTTGTGGACATGGCCCCAGTGGTGGTCTTCCTGAGGAGGGGTCAGGCCGTCACATCACCTCAAAGGCTCACCCCACTGGAGAATCTCACCATGGTTGCCCTGTGTCCCCTGCCTCCACCCTACGCTGCCCAGCACCCTGTCCAGTTATCTGCCTGAGGGGAGGCCCTGCATTCCTCACCTGCAGCACTTCAGAAGGAGCAAAACAGAGCCCAAGAGGGCCAGCGCCTTGGGTACGTGCCCTTTATTACATAGGTGGGGCAGCCAAAGCAGAGAGGAGGATGTGGATTGAGCCTCTGCCCGAGGCTGCTGGGATGTGGGGGGTGCTGAAGGGCACTAATGCCTTCTGTTAGCCTTGGGCCTGGGGTCCAGCTGGATGGCAGGAAAAGAACAGAGCAAGCGAGATGGAGTCTTATGGGACTCTGTCACGCACAGCTGCCCCAGGCCCATCCGTGAGGTCTCGAGGGCAGCTGGCCTCAGGGTGCCAGCATGATCGTGATTCTGGGGCCTCCCCCAGCTCATGTCATGGCTCGGTGGGGAACTGTAGGGTGGGCAGTGGGCAAGGAGGCTATGGCTGGGTCAGGTGTGATCACCACCAGGGATTTTGGTGGGGTAGACATGTGGCTCACCCCTGGTGCCAGAGTGCATCAGGACCTCCTGGAGGTCTCTCTTGGGACCCCTCCCCCAGGTGCTGACCCCCAGGGCAGGTGGCAGGGAGGGTGCACGCCCTGCAGCCTTGGGGAGTCGGAGCGGCTTGTGGGCTGCCCTATCTCCATCCTGGTCCCAGCCCCCACCCGGGCAGAATCTCACGTCCCTGAGGTGTCTGGAGCTGGCTTGCGCCTGAAGAGGCACCATGGCCGAGTGCTACCTTGCAGGCAGGTTCCCCAGCGGCAGCCTGGTTGGCCCCAGGCACACGCACTTGAGGCCATGGGAGGACCTGGTGACCTTCGCACACTGGGGGCACTAGCTGCGATGGATGCGAGCTGGACTGGGTGGAGGGACTGAGGACAGCTGTTGGGGGCTGGAGAGTGAAATGTACATGGTGTGCAGGAGGACAGGGCACAGGCGAGGGGGTGGGGAGTGGGGTGGACGAGTGCACAGGTAGATGAACAGGTGGATGGATGAGTGGGTAGGTAGATAGGATGCACTGAGTCAACTGATAATTAGCTAGGCTGAGGGGTGGGCAGAGGGACGGACAGATGGATGCCAGAGATGGACTTTGGTGTCAGCTGGAGGAGCTATTTGGAAAAACTGGCAAACAGGAGACTTCGGGGCCTGTCCTGACCAGTGTGCCACATCCTGAGGTGAGCCTTGCCTGGCCCTCCTGTCCATCCCCATCCAGCACTGGCCCTCTTGGGGCTCTGCTGCATGTGTCTGCTCAACGACTCCTGCTGGGCCTTCCTGAAGGGTGACATCCACCTGTCCCACCCCAACACCCGTGGCCAGTGTGGACTGGAGCCACAGGTCTCTGCTTCTGTCTATCAGAGGACAGGCTGGGCAAGCCCTGCCTGGGCATTACCCATGGGACATTGTCAGGGCCTGGGTCCCAGGGGAGGGCGGGGAGGAGGGATGAAAGAGCTGGGATGCACACGGAGCGAGGGCTGGGCCTGTCTGTCTCCGTCTATCCCATTCTGTTTTAGCTCAGGGCTCAGGACAAGGTGAAACCACGGCAAGTGGCAAGGGACACTCCTAGCGCAGAAAGGCAATCTGTGTAATGACCGCCCCACATCTAGGGCTCCAGCTTGGTTCTGCTGTAAGATTTTTTGGGGTAGACAGAACTTGAGTGCAGAACCCACAGCAGTGGCAGCTCCCAGTCACACAGGGATAGTGCCTCTGCCAACAGGTGGCAGCTAACACTGCCCAGAGCTCCTGAACCCCACACGTGCCAGGAATGCCCTCCTGCTCTTCCTCAGTTTCCCCACTGGAACCCTCCTCCCCGGTCCTCCTGACTGCTGGGCTCGAAGGTCTCCCAGTCCGTATGTCAGGCTGGTGGGTCAGGTAGCCTGTCTTCTGTCCCTGAGAAGCCTGCCTATCCCCAAAGAGGAACACAGTGAGAGGGACATAGGTGTTTCCTTGAGAACCACAGACTGGGTCCACCCAGGAGTGGGCACCCCAGCCTGGAGCCAGGGACTCAGGGATCAGGACAGTGGCCCAGGCTCCTCACCAGCAACACCCAGGCCAGGCATCTCCAAGGCCCACAGCTCACAGCACAGCCTCACCAGGGTGCACAACCCAGGCCCACCGTGTTTCCCTCTGCAAACATGGTGCCCACTAAGCCAAGCATTCGGGACCCTTTGCTGGACGCAGGCAGGAAGGGCCCAGGGGGCTGCGGGCCACAAGGCAGCAGGGACTACACGAGGTACCCGGGGGACAGGTTTCCTCCACGGAGAAAACCAGCAAAAAACCAGCAAACAGGAACCAGCACAGGCTTCCACGTGTGACTGAGAGCCAACCCCATGTGGCCATCACTTCCTGAGTCCATGGGAGCAGAGCCCTGCCAAGTCAGGGGCCGTCGCCTTAGGGACCTCCTGGAGGACAAGGAAGAGCTCTCTCTACCTTTAGGGCAAGGGTGCTGCTGTCCCAGAGCTGATGGCATCTGGCGGGTCCTTCTCTAACTCAGCGAATTCTGCAACTGGGAGAAGTGTCCCCCACAGAGCCACCCCTTGCTGGGGAACAACTGCAGATTTCGCCAAAAACCTACTTCCTGCATTTTGCATTGGCTGTGGTTTCCCTTCTCTTTATTTGGCAAACGTCTTACCATCCTGGTGGGCACCGTCATTCGGACCTCTGCAGAGACTATGTACACTCACATTCACGCACACGAGCCCCTCGCATGGGGGCCTAGCCCCCTATTGCACTGAAGTCCTTCGTGCCTCTGCCGCTGAGCATGCGGAGGTCTGTCCGTGGGGCTGTGAGACTCCCCATCATCTCCCCGAATGGCTGAGGGCATCACGCGGCGTGGGGGTGTGGAGAGCCGGTGGGGTGTCCAGTCTCCAGGGCTGAGCAGCTGGGTGGACAGACGGGGGACGTAGGGATATATACAGCTGAGCACGAGTCCCAGGGGAGGGAGGGCGGCTGCTTTTCTGTGGGTTTTTCCGGCAAGGTGTGAAGGAAGGAGGCCCAGGGCCTGCGCGGTGACCAGTGGGAGCTGAGAGAGGTAGAGGAGGAGAACGGAGGGCACTGTTCCAGCAGCGGTCACCGCCATCTGCTCAGGCTTTGAATCAACCCAAAAGATTGTCACAGTTTTGTTTCTGAGTTGTGCTTTCTCTGAGGAGAACACTTTAGCACTTTTTTCTTCACGAGTGGAGAAATGAAATGTGGACAGCCACAGGGCGCAGGGACAGACAGGTGTCTCCCTGAATGCAGATGTGCGGTGACTCACAGGCGCAGGGGCCTCGCGCTCCCGTCTGCCCAGTGAGGGGCTGCAGATTCACTGAGAAAACTTGAGGTCACTTCTGACTGGGCCTAGACCCCACAACCCCAGGATTCCAACACCCCAGAAAATCACAACCAAAACCGAAAGACCAGCATCAAACAAACCCAGGCTGGACTGAAACAGTGAAAGGAATACTTTGGCAGTGGAAAAGCATTTTGGATTTCGATTTCTTGTGTTTGCTTTTTGGGTTTCCTTTGGAGCAGAGGTGTGTCCGGTATCCTTGGCTGGCTAGCTAGCAAGGTAGTTTACAGGTGTGCTTCCTTTGCTTTTTTAAAAAAAACCTTTTTGGATTTTTACTTAAAGCCAAAGACTTTGACATTAAAAAATAAAAAACAAAAAACAAAACACCACAATAACCTGAAACCAAAAATGCTTTGAGTTGGAAACTGAAATCTTTCTCACTGCGTCTGCCCAGTGACCCCTGGGGTGGCCCGGGTGGCACAGTGAGCTCAGGTCTCTGGATATAAAATCAATTTTCCCCCTTTAATGAGGAAGTGGAGGACCCCACGGTCATCTTTGTCCATTTCTGAGTAGATCTTTCGCCAACAAAATGAACCCCCCAAATGCTTCACTGAAAATACGAGCCACCAGTTAGGTGCTTTTCATGATAGGGAAAGTGTGTAGAAGTCATAAAGACAGAACAAAGATGAGAGACAGCAGGAGACGACAGAGACAGACACAAGACGGACAGACAAGCGGACGAGCTGGGCATGCTGTGCTGGTGCCACCCTGCTAGAGCTGGGTCTCTGGCTTCCCAGGGCTCCCGGGAGGAGGCTGTCAGGTCGTGGTGGACGCTCGTGTCAGGTAGCTGAGGCGGCTGCGGTGCAGCTCTGGTTGGCTCTGTGTTGCTTTTTGGACAGGAGAAGTAGCAGCAGTGGTTCCTGCCATCCGGCCAGGCGGGCACAGCATCTGGCTCTGGGCTGGGCCGGGCTGGGGCTTAGCGGGGCGTGGCACCCATGGGCCAGGTGTTGGGGCCTGGAGAGGTCAG